AGTCCCACTAAGTTAAATGAAGCATATCCCTAGGCCATATGCAAAGGACTGTAGTCTTAGAGGAATTTACCAAGGTACCCGTCATATATTATCATTTTTTATGTCTTAAATTTGTTAGTCACTTTATCTTGTCCAGGGCAACCCAAAGCAACTTAATTTAGTGCAGTGCTGGGGAAGCCAGAGGCCAAACACATCCCTGCATATGAAGTACAATGCTAATATTAAAGTGAAACTAAAGTTCTAGTTTTCAACTACAGAACTAGAAGAAAGTTGGTGAACTCTACTTTCTGAAAAGTAGGTCTAAAACAAGGTTTTGTAGCACATTTCTCAAGGCTGCAAAGTACTTGCCTCCGAAAACCCTCAATTCAATTGAAGAAGAATAGTTACATAATGCTTTAGTTAGAGCAACAGATTTTAAATGATTACTTTTATTCAACTCATCATCAATACACTATTTGGATTAGTAAACTGTGATGCTTCTGAGATTAGTGAATTGCATTTCTAGCAGTTGTTCTTAACAAGAAACCTGAATGTGTTCAATCTGTAACCAATTCCAGTTACATAGTCACCTTATTAAATAAAGCATCTAGTAAGAAACTGCTGCAGCCAAGCACTAAACTGAAGAACAGCAATTAATATTTTCTTTTGCCTTATCTCCATAAAAAAATGTTCAATATTTTACAGGGATTATAGGCAGCAAGGAAGTGAATACAAGGCACTTGTTTTGGCCTAAGTAATTTAAGATTTGCATTGAAAGATGTTCAGAGCTTTACATTTTAGTTCTCAGTTTAAGAGAAATTCCCTGACGTACAGAATCCAGCTATAAATAAGAAAGCATCATCAGTACCAACCAAATTGTCTATCCCTCACATATGTGCACCTTGTTGAACAAGCATAAAACTTGGAGACAAACACACAGAAATAAAACATGTAGCACAACATAATAATTACTAACACACATATAGCCTTTTAAAACATGTAATGTGCTTCACATTATATCACTGCAACCCTGATAAAGTAACTAATAGATCAGTGTTCTCATCTGCAATATCAGGAATGAAAGCTGAGAGAGGAAGAGAAAATGGCTTGCCTATGAACACACAGTGAGTTCATGGCAGAGATAAGACTCATACCAGAGATTTCCCAATTTGTAACTAAATATCTTAGCCACTAGACTGCGCAAGCTCTCATAGACCTGAACTTTATAGCAAAACATTAACATTCTGCTGCCTACCTTTACTGCCCTCACTAGCATGCAGCAGGAAAAGCTACATCTACCTATTATTCTGTACAGCAGATGGTAGACACACAATGGAATCAGGCATGGTCACACTGCCAAATTCCCCTGCACAATTGAGACACAGCTGCATGGAGAAAGGTAAGCGTGGACTATACTATACACACAAGGAGCCAGTCAGTCCTTGCTGATCTTGGAAAAGGTGCAGCTATAACAACTGCTATGACCATGCATCTCCCCATGCAAATAGTGGGTCTCACAACAGTCTTTTTTCATATCATCATGCACCAAAGTACACAACTGCAGTGGAGACTTTGTCAATGTGAACCAATTTCAGGCTGTGAACCTGAGCACATTCACTTTCAAGCCTTGCATTTAGAATTATAGTCTAAAGTGGCAATTCTATGAATGCTTTCCTGGAAGTAACCACAACTGAACACAGCAAGACTTACTTCCGAATAAATACGTGAAGGATTGTGCTATTCTATTCTATACCTTAGTAGCCTAAATGTTTTTAATCATAGTGGAGGAGCTAGTTCTGGGAGGTTTTCAAACAGTGTTCAAGAGTCCCATGATGGCTTATCAGATGTTCCCTAATAAATCAAACAGTAGCAGAAGACAAGCTTCCCTGGAAAGACAGCTTGCTAACCATGCTCCATCTACACGAGGTAGACTTTATTCTCGGTTCCCATGGGGCAACAGTGAGATTCAGCAGACCTTCCAGTGCCCTGGGGGAACTGCATGTAAGCCCTAGATTGAACATGTCCCAAATCACCTTTAATGTGGTGGGGTTCCATAGCAAACAAGTTTATATGGAAAAAGATTCCCTGAAAGAAATTCATAAACCAAATTTGTAAATTCGTTAAGTTAGTGGGCTGGTGTCTCAATTTCATCCACTATTTCAGAAACATGACATTCAAGCTCTCATTTCTCAGAACAGAAAACAGCAATTCCTTTCATTATTATCACTTTTAACAACAGAAATGCTGAAGAAGGGAACTACTGACTACAGGATCATTTCCTCAAGTGGTAAAGTTGGGGATCTTTTGATGTGGTCAAAGTGAAGAGAATGGAGGGTATGGAGCAAGAAAAATGTGCTCCCAAGATTAGTCTGGCAAGGGATTTAGAGGGAGAGGTGGGGCAGATCAAAACAGAAATTCCAAGAAAGTGTCCTCCAGTCTTACAGTTCTATAGAAGAAACAGCTATAGGATCAGGAGGCTATTTTACTGATCAGATCTGCTAAAATGACCCCAAGTCTGGAAAGCATGTAGAGTTGAAAGAGTTCCAGTTTTGCAACTGAGATTGAGGCACACTTAACTTAAAGGGCAAAATTAGGCTTTATTTCACCTGGGTCAAAGACCCGGTTTGGGAGCCGCCATGCACATTTGCATGCGTGCACACACACACACACACACACAGAGGCTGGGAGCCTCAATGGCAACCCTCTGGAGGCTTCACCTGCACAAAAAGCCTGGCTAGCGCCCCCCTCTCCCCCAGTAGCCATGGCACTGCTTGAAGACAGGAACAAAACCATGGAGCAGTAAAAACACGAGGGTCTTTTCAGACACGTTAAAGTACACTGAATGCTGCTCAAAACTGCATATCTTCCCCCAATTTACCCTCAAACAAGTCAATCAGGTACACTGTGAATCTAGGCTACTCATACATAGAACACACTGTTCAGGATTGGACCATGATTTCCAAGGATCTGAATAAAGCATTCATGGATCTACTAGATGCTCACGACTTTGTATGAACAGTTTTGTGTAGGAAGTTTTGTTTTCTTTGAAAGAGGAGTGATGTGAATGAAAGTGGAAAGATTCTGCACAAGAGAAGACAATCTTACCACACATATCTTTTCTCATTTTTTTTCATCAAAACCTTTGTTTTTCCGATGGTTTCTGAACCTTCTTGAATATTGCTTCCGTAGCCCACCATGAGGTTCTGAAACGCAATGCTTTTAACAAGCAGCTCAAGCTCAAATTAAACTAAACTCAAATTACACACAACTAAGCACCTCATTTAAAAAAACAACAACAAAAACCTCCTCAAAATGAGGAAAGAATCCATTAAAGAAATCTTTCATTTTGTTTGTGTTTGCAGTAATGGGTTCTGGAAGAGACAGGAGCTCAGTTGTGGAGCATCCACTTTGCATGGCAAAGGTACCAGCTTCATCCCTGCATCTTCAGGTAGGGCTGGGAGACATCCCTGTTTGAAACCCTGGTGAGCCACTGTCAGCCAGTGTGGACCAATGGTCTGACTCAGTATAAAGCAGCTTCCTACATTCCCATGACAACAACTCTGTTGCCTCACCCTAAAACACTTACGTAACTGAGAATTATGCTGTTAACTCATCATTCTGCCAACTTTATACTTTCCCCCTTTTCCAAGCTTTTTTCCCCCCTCTCTGAAACACTTTCACTTTAAAGTTGATCCCTCAACAATGCAAACTCTTAATCTGATACTTCACAGTTTTCAGCATCATGTTTGATTATTCATTTCAGTCCATTTTAGGGGAAATAATATTTAATTGCTTTGGAAGAATAACATCAGAGGAGGCTGTAGCTGGGAATAGGGGAGCCATAATCACTGCATTAGTTACAAGTCAACTGCAAAGGCTAAAGGAGGCTCTCAGCCAAGTGTTAATAAATCTACTGCTATTTTACACAACTAGACAAATTGCGAAGGCATAAGCTGTTGATATCCGAAACCGAAAAGGAGGTCATATAAACCATAAAAAAGAGTTACAGTAAAATGCAACATGGAAATGCAGTCAATTTTCCCCAGTCAAACATTCAAATATTCCCATTTGTTCGCTTCCTGCCACAGTTATTCACAACTGAAAATGTGTGTGTTAAAGGTTAATTATGCATGTTTACTAGGCAACGTTTTAAAAAAGGAGCCAAGTGGCTTCAGGAGTCACAGCAGTTAGTTTTCCACACACCATCAAATAATTTAACTTCAAAGTCACCTGCATATATTTACCTTGCGTAAACTGGAATCTGTGCCACAAAATACTTCTGTACGTCTTAATTATTGCTTGTGGACTGTTAACTATATACGTATAAGCGTTTAGGAGCCCATAATTTATTATTCAACAACAAGAGTTTCTTCCATGTAAGACAGAGAACAATGGAAATGGGGGGGGGGACAGATGGGTTTGACATGAAAACGGAGAATTCTTAAATATGCATGCACGTCACACATGCACATTCAGTGGACTACTGATATTGCTACTTTATTGCCTTTTTCCATTTAAGAAAGGGTTTGCTTTATGTCATTCCTTTTTGCAACAGTCTCCACCACCACCACCCGCCTCCTCTGGAACAAGACGCTTCGTTGCCTTTCAGCACAGCAACCTGAAAAGTACAGAAGGAACAATGCCCATTGTCTGCCCAAGTCACTGGACCATATCTCTCCCTTGCACACACACACACACACACACACACACTCCTTAGGGGAGTCTCACGCGAAACATTTGCATCCTCTTCTCAGCGCCGTCCCTTATACATGCGCCAACCCCTCCCATCACCCAGGGATGCATTTGAGAATCCTGCATTTCAGGCGTCAGCGAAGACTTGCATCTCCGCGCGCCGCAACCATGTGTGCAGCAGCTGCCCTCCAAACCTCACGCCCCCTGCCTCTGTCAACGGGGTGGGTGGGGGTGGGGCACGTGGATCTCCTACCCCCACCCTCCTCCCTCCCTTTGGGGCCGTGGCAAGCGCGATTTGCCCCGGGCGAGCGCCCCTGCTCTCTTCTTACCTCGACTTCCTTGTTCTTCTCTTTGTTTCTGCCCATCGAACTTCTCCCATTGCTGGCCGTCTCCCGCGCGGGGACTACGGAGATCCGCTGGAGAGGCATTTTGACAGGGCTGCAGGTTGCCGGAGCCTGATTGGACGCCTCCGAGCTCCGCTCTCTCCGAAGAGCCCACCTGTATAATAATTGTTCATATCCTTGCGTGGCCAGACATGGAGCTGCTTCGAGCGCGCGCAGCTTGGGGAGGGAGGGAGGGGTGGGGGGGGCAAACCCACGCGGTCTTCCCGCAAACAATAACAATAACAAGAAGAAGAAAAAATGAAATATATTTATATAAACCACATGCACCCCGGTTAACCTAAGTAGAAAGAGAGCGGCCAAAAAAGAGGCGTCATGATAATCCAGGGAGTTTGGGGAAATTCTCCGTGAGGCGAGTTACTGCGGGTCAGGAGAACTCCGCCGCTTCGCCAGTGGCGCAGCCGCCGCCTCCTCTTCCCCCGCCCGCTTCCTTTCTCCAGAGCATTGTGGGAGACAATTCAATTTCTCCGCTGCCCTAATAACTGTCATGGAAACCGAGGGGAAGCTGGGCCCCGGTTAAGAAGCGCTTCCTTTCGCGGCTCCTTCCATATTTGCTGCGACAGCGGACGAGGCGCCGTTGTCGTCGACGGCTTTTTTTTTCTGCTTTCCTCTTCCTGAGGGAGCGCCTAGCCGGAACCCGACCCCTTCGCGGCGCCGCTTGAAGTAATAATAACAGAAAAACCGAGCGCGAGGCTGCAAGGCGGCTTAGCGTCCTATTTTGGAGCCAAATCCCCTCCTCGGGAAGCGCGGCGAGCTCGCCGTGTCCTTCATGCGCCTCGCGTAATCTGTTTAGGTTTCAAAGGAGCTGCCTGGGACCTGGGCGGGGGGGGGGGAGCAGCTGCGGTTGAAACGTAATGCTATTAAAAAGTGGGGGGGTGGCACCCACAAAGAAGCGACTGGAATTGGGTCTGCCCCCAAGGTGGCCAGGAGAAACGTCAACCCGCTCCTTGCAGCTCCTGCACACTAGGGCGCACAGCCTGCCCTTCCTCTCTCTCAGCCAGAGTTCAACAAGGTTTAGCTTTGGATTTAATGATCACGCTTCAGCTCCGTGGCATTTGCTTCTCAGGATGTCCAGAGTGCCATGGCAAGGGTTGGAGATCAGCCAGACTGGAGCCTCGGGCAGTGGCGTAGCGTGGGGGGTGCAGGGGGGGCCGGCCGCACCGGGCGCAACATCTGGGATTAGGGCAAATCCACAGGTTAGGGGCGCAAATCCACGGGTTAGGGGCGCAAATCCACGGTTAGGGGCGCAAATTACTTGCCTTGCCCCGGGTGCTGACAACCCACGCTACGCCACTGGCCTCGGGACAACCTGTTTAGACCTAGCCCAGGATTGGAACTTGTGAAATGCTCACCTGGGGCTTTAGGAGCTAACTCCTAGGACCTCAAAATATTTGAAGGGGCCACCAGCACACCACAAAGTTAATGGGCACTGCATCTTGTGACTGATTATGCAGGACTTACCTGCCCCCTTCCCAATGTTTTATTCAAGTGTTGGCACCCTGCCAAGGGCATGTGTAAAGTGCATTTGCCTTATCACTGAATCATCACAGCCAGTTGAGATTAAATAAATAGCCTTTTACAATAGCACTTTTGGGGGGTTTAGAGATTACGCTGCTGCTGAGTAACAATCGCCCACACCTCTCTAAAATAGAGGTAAGGACATCAGCGGATGTGAATTTTGAACAAGCCGGCCTCAAGTTATCTGTCTGCCCCATGAAAACAGTATTTTGGCTCCCTTGCAGCACCATGGAGCTCAAGGGTTTTTCCAAACTTCATCCCAGTCCCCCTGTTCCACAGAACTGGAACAAAGGAATTAGGCAAAATAGTCTCCTGGGGGAGACAGCTGTCCTTGCACCAGAGACTGAGTTAATCCAGGGTCCACAGACAGAAACTGTATGCTTCCTAGTAATTTCTGATTATCCCAGAACCACTGGAAATCCAGGTTGGGCCTTTTTCCAGGCAGATTTGAACTTCTGTAGCCCTAGCTTTAGAAATTAAACCCTGATTCCTAGTGCTTAGAGGTGATGAAGTGTGTTGATTAGGAGTTATGTTTACAAAACCCACCTATTTTGATAAAATAAAAAATACTTTCTTTAAAAATATATATTATCCAACTTAAAACTTTTGTTATTCATTGTAAATGTTCTCAGCTTGAGACCTCAGGACAGAGAACCCACCCAGAGCACTCCCACAACAAACTGCTTGGTTATGAAACCCTCTAAATGCCAGTGACATTTCACCTGTGTTGTTTGTTCCAAGCAATGTGTTCGCATGTCTGCAAAACCTCTTTATGTAACTGACTAGAATTTTGGGTGTTATCGCATACAATGTTATACCCATAATCAAATTTAAAAGTAAATACATTGCCATCGCACTGGAAAACATACCAATGGTTATAAATAGCCCTGTGTATCAGTCAGAGATCTCAACAGGATTAAGCACTAATCAATTTAATCCATCTATGTATTTCTCAATGGGGAAGAGGGGGAAGGAGCTTATAAGGTGAGACAAACAGTAAGCCTAACTTGCTTCCTTTCCCAGACTAGGTCAGCAGCCTATTTCGGTTAGTGGAATTCAGTATCCTATGCTATTATCCAATGCAGTGACCCTACACACACTTATTTGGGAATAAGTTCCATTAAATTTAATGGGCTGTGCTTATGGCTAAAGATCCCTAGGATGAGACTGTAAATAAAATGAATATTGGTCTACATGACCTCAGTGGTCCCTTTCAACTCTATAATTCTATGATTGTATAACCTTTGAGTGTGTTTCCAACGACCCCTTCCCACCCTCCAAAAGTTCATAGTTCCTGTGCATTCTCCCGGGTGTCAAAGTGAAGATTCACTGGGGGTGAGCAAAGGATGTGTGATTAAAATAAAGTTGTAAGAGACTGTAGGCCGTGGGACCTTTTGAGATAGTAAAGCTGTAATTCCAAAGGAACTAATAGTATATTAAAAACTAATGCATCTCCAACCAGATGTCAAGGAAATAAACAACTATCTGACTTTTAGAAGACATCTGAAGGTAGCCCTGTTTGGGAAGTTTTTAATGTTTGATGTTTCATTGTGGTTTTGATGTTCTGTTGGAAGCCATCCAAAGTGGCTGGGGAGGCCTGGCCAGATGGGTGGGGTGTGAGTAATAAATTATTATTATTACAGTGGTATCTCGGGTTACATACGCTTCAGGTTACAGACTCCGCTAACCCAGAAATAGTACCTTGGGTTAAGAACTTTGCTTCAGGATGAGAACGGCGCGGCAGCAGCAGGAGGCCCCATTAGCTAAAGTGGTGCTTCAGGTTAAGAACAGTTTCAGGTTAAGAACAGACCTCCGGAACGAATTAAGTACTTAACCCGAGGTACCACTGTATTATAAACATGTCTTGTGAAAACAATGCCTTGCTATCGATCACTGAAGTATTGAAAGGAAAGCAAAGGGGAAAGTCTCAGCACCATTTTTCTGCTTGATCTGGGATTTAATGGGGAAGGTGTGCAAATGACAAAACAGAGTTAGAATGGCATGCCACATAAGCAGTAGGTGTTTAAATTGTCTGCCTGGCTGGCTGCCTGCCAGATTTAAAAAGCAATATGATCAAAACATTTAGTAAAAAAGTTAACACCACCTTTCACATTCAATTATGAACGTTTGCTCTTCCAAATGATGATGGACACATAATTCAGTAAAAGCACAAAATTTGGTCTCTAGACTTAAGGCTGTAATCCTATGGGGGGTAAATAGTCTCATTGAACTCAGTGGGGCTTACCTCTAACAGACAGATAAGAGTTCACAGCAACTTCCCCAGTGCAGAATTCACTGTGGTAAATACAATATACAGTGGTACCTTGGGTTAAGTACTTAATTTGTTCCGGAGGTCCGTTCTTAACCTGAAACTGTTCTTAACCTGAAGCACCACTTTAGCTAATGGGGCCTCCCGCTGCCGCCGGAGCACGATTTCTGTTCTCATCCTGAAGCAAAGTTCTTAACCTGAAGCACTATTTCTGGGTTAGCGGAGTCTGTAACCTGAAGCGTATGTAACCCGAGGTACCACTGTAAATACTAGGACATATTTACATGTTCGCTATATAATTATCATAAATGAATTATTATTCTCTTTGTTGGCAATGAGGTTTTGTTTTTGTTTTTTTAAACCCAATAAAGAAAAACTGGGCCCTCATCTTTTCTATATATTTAAAACAAAATCATATTACTTTATACAGCCATGGCATCACCCAAAGAATCCTGGGAACTGTGGTTCATTAAGGATGTTGAGAGTTGACCACAGACCTTCATTTCCCTCTCCACAGAGCTACAGTTCCTAGATTTTCCTGGGAAGAGGGACTGGTTGTTAAACCCACTCTGATAATTGTTGCTCTGTGGAAGGAATGGCAGTATCCTGCATACAATTGCAGTTTTGAAAGGTTTGGTCTGCCATCTTGACACAAAATGGCACCCAATTGTAGCCAGGAATCATCATGCAAAATTGGGTTATGAGCTCAATGCAGAGCAAACAAACAACTTTCCAAAATACACAGTAGTTTTAAAACATTTTAACCCACTTTTCCTCCAAAAGAGGTGGCTAAAACAGATAAGACAGTTTGTGGTGAAGCTGGAACTACTTACACAAAAGGCTTTTACAGTGTTTTAAAAGGACATTAATGAAGTAGCAAGGTGGGTTTCTGTTGTGAGTCATTATTATTACTACAGTCATATCCCAACATTCCTCCAAGGAGCTCAAGGTGGTGTATGTTTTATCTTCACAGTAATCCTTGCAAGATAGGTCACACTAAGAGACAATGACTAGTCCAAGGTCACTCAGTAGGCTGAGTGGAGATTAGAACCCTGCTCTCCCTGGTCCTAGTTTCAAACCTCTAATGTCACCACAACACTAGCCTATGACAGGCACAGCTGCTAAAATGGCCCTCACCCCTGTATCAAATAGATGTATTTGTTTTTATATATGTAAATGTTGATATTTCCACTGCAGAATCACATGGATATTTTTTAATGAGAATTGATTCATACACAGAATCAAATAAATAAACAACTATGTATTTCAGGGATCACTGAGACACGCAAGAGAGCAATCTTAATAACCAGTCAGGCGCACACAGAAGAAAGTGAAAGGATTAGGTCCTATTGAACTCAGTGGGAGTTTACTTCTGAGTAACCATGCCAAGGCTGGTGCTCCGTGAAATGTTTTCTGGCTCTCAGTGGTGACATTAGAACAATCAGAAAACTTAGTGTTTCCAAATGCCAGGAAATTTGCTCTTCTTTAGTTCAGCTCTGCTTCTGTGACCGATAAAAGCAACAAAGAAAGGGAGGGAAAGTAAAAGCAAGGCCAACATGAAGGAAACGGCTTAAATAGCCAAGTATTAAGGGTTAGCAGAAAAATTAGGCAACCAAAGTGTTAGAATTCCTATTGCTAAAGTGATGCGTGTGGCTGTAAAACCCTGAAAGGTAGGAAAACAACATGCACTGACTCACCTATTGTGGGCAGTATTTATTATACTTTGATTATTCATCAGAGAACTATTTCTGTCCACAGATGAAAAAAGACAAAAATACTTGAAGGACAGATTATGCATTCAGACACAGAAGACATATTTCAGCGTGAGCTGAGCAGAAAAAAATAAATGGCATTCTGTTGACTTTAGTAGATAGCAATAAAGCTAGCAATATCACATTTAAAAAACAGCTCCTTGCAAATATCATATGAACGTGCAGCTCAATTGTATCTCTGAATAATATTTCCAATACTGAAAACACTATGTAGATTTAATGCTGAGATATAATTT